TTTTTTTTTTTTTCTTTTTGGCAAGGCACCATTGCATACATCATCTCATTTGACCCAGTCTGTGCTCATCCACAAAGGGTACAAGAGGTGCAACCAAGGGGACAGAGGCAGCTGTCTGCTCTCACCTTATCCATGCTGGCCTGGTTCAGTCTCATAATGGAGGCATGAGCCAGGCGGTCATAGACGGTCCTCAGGGCCTTCTTGGAGTAGAGCTCTTGGGGTTTGAACAATTCCTCCATAAACTTTCGATTGAACATGGTTGAGATGATGTCGTGCAGAACTGTAGAGACAAGAGAGAATACAGCTGAGCGAGGTACTGGAGGAAGCTGTATTCGGGAAATGGTCTCTGTGTATGAATGGGATGCAGGGGCCGGCCTAAGCAGAGCTGGGGATGCTGATGTGCTGGCGAGATGTGCTCCCTTGGGATAAACCACACAGGTGTCCCAATAGAAAGCAGGTACCAGAGTGCCTTATGAGCCTGTCCCAGAGCAAACATAAATGTGACAATGTATAAATGTGTCATGCTTTAGGGGCTATAAGCCACTTTTATACAGGTATTATCTCACTTGATGGGGGAAATGTTTCTTCTTTCTTTAAAAAAGATTCCTATGAACATTTTCGATCTCTTCCTTGAAATGAGAGGCAGTACTGCTCTTTTTGTTTGTTTAGCTAATCTGTAACGTTTTTACTTAAAATTAAATTTCATAAAAAATGGGACCAATAATGGTAATTGACTCTGTTTAAAGAAAAAATACTTTATGAAAATAGACAAGTCTACCCACTGGTTAGAGATTTCTAGTGTTTCTACAAGACATGTACTTCATGCACCATTTTAGAATGCCTTGATTTCTACATTTGATCTATAATATTGATATTGCACTGTGGTGACAGGTCTCAGTGTTGTTCAAATGGAAAGTTTCCATCTGGTGAGAATAAAAGTCCTAAGGCATGTGCAAACCAAAGTGTCTATAATTCTAGTCGTTCATTCACTCATTCAATTAACTATTTTGTGCTGCTCAAATAACATTAGTTGAGGGCTAGGAAAACCATCTGGTACAAGAAATAGGACCAGGTATGTATGAACACAGATTATTCTTAATTAAGCCAGATATATGCTGACCTCAGGGTGAGAGTATATGAATGCTGAGAATATACATTCATAGCAATTAAAACTTGCAAGAAAACTGATTGTTTAGAATAATGATACAAAATCAATTACTAAACATGAGTGATTATCACCAAAGGATACAAATGCCCCTTTCTCTTGCCACACAAAGATGGCACCAGGTGATTGGTCGTGACCATGAATTTTGGAGACTGAAGGCAAGGTAGTGTGGTCAGGTCATACCTTTAAGTCATGGATAGAAGTACCCTGAGCGCTCAGGCCAGCACTAAAAAGCATCTGGGCGCCTGGCTGGCTCAGTTGGTGGAGTGTGTGACTCTTGATCTTGGGGTTGTGAGTTTGAGCCCACGTTGGGTGTAGAGATTCCTTAAAAAAAATAAAAATCTTAAAAAAAAAAAGCATCTCAAAGAACATTTTGGGGGGAAAGGGAAGGTGGGGGCTAGTTGTGTCTAAATCTTTTTTTTTAATGTTTATTTATTTATTTTTAAGAGAGAATGTGTGAGCAGGGGAGAGGAGCAGAGAGAGAGAGGGAGACAGAGGATTTGAAGTAGGCTCTGCACTGACAGCAGAGAGCCTGATGCGGGCCTTGGACTTAGGAACCATGAGATCATGACCTGAGCCAAAGTCAGACGCTTAACCGACTGAGCCACCCAGGCACCCCAAGGCTGTTTTTAAATCTTACATGGAAGGGCTACGGAGAAAGAGCGGAAGCCCCCTCCCCACCTTTTTTAACAGAAAAGAACTAAATGACTGTGGCTCCTTGCAGAAGTGTTGAACTCACACTTGACCTTAGGACTTCACTCTAGGCTCTATCTTCTTTGTGAGGAAGAACTCCATTACCAATATAGGGTAGGCATCACCTCTGACAATTTGAACCCATTGCAGCATGCCCCTAATGTGCACTAACATTTCCCCAGTGTGGACAGTTTGGGGACATATGAACTCTTCTGGGTTTGCTTCATGAATGGTCTTTTGTCTTTGGCCAAAACAAGCAAGGGCCTGCAAGGAACTGGGTTTCCTAACCCTGTTCTTACTGTAGCCTAGATCAAGTGCAGAATTTGCAAGGGAATAGGTACAAATGCAAAGCCACATATAAGCCCTCAAAAGAAAGAATTTGAAGAATTTTCCAGATTTATGTAGGGCAAGGAGGAGTGCCAAAGAGGAAGAATTCCAGTTGAAGAATCACATCAGCTCTGGTTATGTCAGTGTTTACAAAAGCTGCCATTTACCTGGGTGCTGGGTCGTTTCTCTAGAGTCTTTGAGTCCCTAGCAGCTTAGACCCAAATACATCAGTTCTAGAAGAAAGAAAATTGCAGGGTGAGTGTTAGTCACTCTGGCAAAGTAAAAAGCAAAGTGAAACCTTTCCCTCTGGGAAGTGAATAGGCCACGTATCACCACGGCTCCTTGTACCAGAACAACCAGAAAGTTTACCTGTCGTTAGGAGCACAGCGCACCCTGTCTCTGTGGGCAGAGCGGTGAACACAAATGCCCCCAAAGAAGAAATGACCGTTTTATGATTGGGCTCTGGCACCCAGGGCTCTCGCCTCTCAAATTTAAGTCTTTGGAAAGAGTATAGGGGCACAAATTAACAGGCTTACAGCTCACAATGCGCTTTACCCGGTACTTGGTTGAGGCGGGCCTAAATCTGTACCGGACTCGAGATAAACGCCAGGGCACGAGGAACGGAAGGCTGTCTTTCCCTAGAGAAGCAGTCCATGCTGTATTGAAGTTAAACCCGAGAAACGATTTTAAGCAGGCCTGTCGGTCTGTCTTGGTGTTAGCTTTCTGCACTCACATGAGCTCTGCCTAATTTCACGAGGCAGGAATGTGCTAGGAGCTAGGCGACAGCCTGCAGGGACTAAGGGCAGGGAAGGAAGTAATTTTTAACAGGTGCATCAGAGAGGGTTAGTAGCTGAGTTCTTAACAGATCAGGCTGCTTGTCCTGGGTTCTATGAGGTCAGGTTCTGCTTGTTATTTAAAAATGCCTAAGTTGGGGTGCCTGGGTGGCTCAGTCGGTTAAGCGGCCGACCTCGGCTCAGGTCATGATCTCGCGGTCTGTGAGTTCGAGCCCCGCGTCAGGCTCTGTGCTGCTAGCTCAGAGCCTGGAGCCTGTTTCAGATTCTGTGTCTCCCTCTCTCTGACGCTCCCCCGTTCATGCTCTGTCTCTCTCTGTCTCAAAAATAAATAAACATTAAAAAAAATCTTAAAAATGCCTAAGTTAAAATAAATTCCAGTGATTCAATTATGTATACTCACAGCCTTCATAATTCACGTCTCACCTGAAATTCCACCATGTGTCAAGAGGTGGGCCAAAAATCGCTCAAGAGAAGTGGTAAAATGCAATAAAAGTGTGTCGAGGACTTTAGGTGTGTTTTTCTTGGATCCTGGCCTAGATGAAATAATTCTCTTGATGAAAGCAACTGGGTTTTTTAAATGTTTGTCTATTTTTGAGAGACAGAGTACAAGCAGGGGAGGAGCAGAAAGAGAGGGACGCAGGATCTGAAGCAGGCTCCAGGCTCTGAGCCGTCAGCACAGAGCCTGACATGGGGCTTGAACCCACGAACAGTGAGATCATGACCTGAGCCGAAGTCAGATGCTTAACCGACTGAGCCACCCACGCACCCCTGAGGGCAACTGGGTTTTTACCAACTACCTCTGCTCTACATTTAATTGTTATGGGGAATATGCAATTTGGAACCGAGCCTAAAAGGGAGAAGCTACTACTTCCAGGTGGTTACCATTTTTGAAACCTTACTATGTTCCAGGCACTGGGCTTAGAACTTTCCGTGCACTATCTCATTTAAACCCCGAGACAACACTGAATTACTCTCCTTATTCTATCAAGGAGGACCACTGAATCTTAGGCAGGTTAAAGTCCAAGGTCACATAGCTGGTGGTGGAAGTGAAATTAGGATGGGTGTTTGATTTTACCATCTGTGCTCTTACATATTACGTATGTCATCTCCTCGGCATACTTGGTATGGTGAGAGCATTTAAAATCTTGAGGACGATGGCTGATGGCGTGCATAAACCGCACCCAAATGTCAAGTGATGGAAGGTACTTGTGACATTTAAAGGTGGGGAAGGCTAAGGTTTTATTCTGGGGAACTGGCCAAATTTTCAGGTTTGCCGCTGGTTGCAGGTGAAGGGGAAACTGAAGATTTGGCACGATTAGGTCCTGGTGCATGCATGCTGCAGCCCACAGTCCTGGCGGCTGTGCAGCCACAGGCTCCCATTTTTCTCCGTTGCTCAGTAGAGATCTCTGTGTGCTAAGGAGAACGGCTCGGGGAGGAGCACCGGTGTCGAAGCGCAATTCTTTGGCCGCACGACACTGTCACATGATGGTTTTAAGGACTACCGGATAGGACAGTCTCCCCAGATGTGTAGCTGCCGTCTTGGTGGTCCCTGTCAAACTTGGCACTGATGAGAAGAGACAAATACCTAGGGCGCCGTATGGTCCTTTGGCCAAAGTTTGCTTGGTTTTCATCTTACGTGCTGCATTTATTTAAGTAAGAGATTCCACCATACAACCAACGTCTTGGCTAAAGAGAAACTCACGCCTGTGTTTTCCCTTAGGAGTATTTAGAGTGGTCCCACAGGAAGCCCAACGATACAGGACCGAGTGAGCCTGTGGATGCAGACTGAACGCATGCAGCCCAGAGATAGCATACCTCGTTTTCTGTCCACCTCTGTCCATTCATCTACATGAAGCATATAAAAAGAAAACACCAGTTCATGAAGCAAGAACATTTTTTTCAAGGAGGCTTTAAAAACACCAATTCCGACGTTGTGGCCTATGAAACTTTAGTTTGCACATGGGCAGTGATGTCTAATGCGGATACCCTGCCTTCCATCTGAGACTTTGGAAAGGACGATAGGTAAATAACAAGTTCCAAAAGAGCCCTGGAGAGGCTATGTCTTTTAGAGGGGGGCCTCGTGGGAGAGGAAACCCAGGAGAAACTAGCTACCTTGGGGTTGATCTTGAAAGGCCCGAGGAGTCATTTTCTCTGATGCTGTGAGAATACACACCATTCAAAGGCTTTTACAAACACTAACTTTCATGAGGAAGACTCCCCAGAGTAGGTAGAGAGAGGATTTTCTTTTTCTACAACCTGATTTTTTTTGATTAAGATTTCCCTTTCCAGAGTACAGATGGAACTGCTCCAGATAGAAAACTTGAAAGGTGAACCAAAAGGAAAAAATGTCCATTTGTTTCTGATTTACTTTTTTTTTTTTTTAATTTTTTTTTCAACGTTTTTTATTTATTTTTGGGACAGAGAGAGACAGAGCATGAACGGGGGAGGGGCAGAGAGAGAGGGAGACACAGAATCGGAAACAGGCTCCAGGCTCCGAGCCATCAGCCCAGAGCCTGACGCGGGGCTCAAACTCACGGACCGCGAGATCGTGACCTGGCTGAAGTCGGACGCTTAACCGACTGCGCCACCCAGGCGCCCCTCTGATTTACTTTTTACATATAGATGCAGGACTCCCATGTAAAAAGAGGGCAATAATGAGGGGACCACTGTAAAGAAAGCCCCTGAGGACAAAAGCAGGTGGGGACATGCCAAGAGGAAACCAAATGAGGAGAAAGGTACTTGGCTGGAGAAATCCGTGAGAATCAAGACCCTTTATAGGTTGAGATCCGGCTCTACCATTTGCTAGCTATGTAACTTCAAGCAATTTATTGAACCTCAGTTTCTTCATCTGTAAAATGGGGATCTGAACGGCACCTACATCATAGGGTTGCTGTAGGGATGAAGCAGATAACACGCATCAAACACTTAGCTGGCTTCTCTTCTGGCTTCGCTTTCTGTACCACACAACTTTGGACACTACCCATAAAGGATGAAATGTGGCTTTATTTTCTTTCCTTAATTTTCTGGGGGCAGATTTCAATGTTGAACTCCAATACCACGCCCTCTAAGCAGGGTTCTACGTGCATCCACATTCTTATTTATTTATTTATTTATTTATTTATTTATTTATTGCATCCACATTTTAAACACATTTTGTAATTAATGGTCTCTTTTGGAAACATTTGCAAAATAGGTTGTTTCAGAGGTGATTTCTGAAGTTATAATCGAGCATCCGTGTGCCTTCAACATACAGCACCAACAGCACCTAAGAAATCAGTTTGAAAGCACAGCCAGTGCCATGCCCTAACTGGTGTCAAAAGGTTCCCACTGCAAGGTTAGACGCCTCTGGGAAAATTCACCATCTTTTTCCCCACAAGTCACAGGCTTTTGGAGAGAAAATACTGGGGAAGCAGCACCAAGAACCTGGCCTTCTTGGAGCAGATACTGGTTTCTTTGGCATAATGTCCACATCCTCTGTCTTTTAGTGGCATTTATTTTATAGGCGGTCTTGCCGGATGCGTTTGTGGGCAGAGGGGTGGTGCTGCAAGGGACCCAGTACTCTAAGAGACAGTGGCTCCCTGCTGCTGGCAAAATCGGGTCCTGGGTAAGGGCACTCCTGCAGGCAATGACACTCAGCTCCAGCAGAGGTCGCTCTAGTGCTGTGCGCCCCACGTCCCTGTCCTCCTGAGGACCTCAGGAAGGTAAAAACCATGTCCTGACTTTCTGTTATTTTTCCTGATGACTTGGTTGCAACAATTTCACTTTAGTATTTTGAATGGGAGGAAGGCTCAAGATTATCCAGAGCTGCCTGCTAAATTGGAACTAGAAAAATAAAAACAGAATCTCACCACCATTTGGTTGCTCAGTAAGTACTACGCTGTGATCTGCTTGTCCTGGAAAAATCACTTACTGGCTCTGTCTCAGTTTCCCCTTCTGTAAAATGAGGAATGTAAACAAAATGTAATAGGGTCTTATTTAGGAGTATTTTTGAGAGGACAGGAGGCAAAGGCAGCTTTTATTATTCTTGCTATTGCTTAAAATGTGGGACATTCATATGCAACACTCAGAAGTTGCCCCACAGAGACGGCACTTCCTTTCTGTTGAATGCTAAACTAGAGGCTGCATTGTGGCGAAAAACTGCAATATGTGCGCTGGCCTTGTGGGAGCGGGAGGGCCTCCAGGAGACCAATTAGTTGTGTAAGATAATGAAAACACCTAGAAGAAATATGATTTCCATTCACGGCATCAATGAGGACTTGTTTACCGTGTCTGGTGTTTTATAGGCCTCTGTGCGCCAGTAATGCAGTGGCTCCTGCAGCTACGCCAACTCTCAATGGGGGGACAGAAGGGTGTTTCTCAGCTTTGTGAATCCTGAGCCCTCTACCCTGTTTTGTCACTGTCTTCTACAAGTCCCCATGAGCCAGCTACCCTCTGTCATTCCTTTCATAAAATCAGTGGGGTATGTTGGATACGTTTTTCAAAGCTCTCCCTCTCTTCCCCACCTCCCATCCCCCCTCCCAAAGATTCTGATACAGTCCCCCCACGTATGGAAGTATAGTGCAGCAGTTGAGGACATATTCATTGAGAGTGTGAGCTCTGGAGCCTGATGACCTGGGTTCAAATCCTTTACTCTTCCTCCTACTGGCTATGTAACCCTGGGCAAATTAGCTTCCCCAACTGTAAAAAGGGGATAGTATTAACTAAAGGATAGTATAGCTGTGGGGATTAAGGTCTTCAGACAGGTCCTTGGTACACGGTAAGTGCTTAGTAAATGTTTATTGTTGTTGTTAGGAAGATATGTCAGCTCCC